GATATCTCATGTTAGTGATGTTACTGGGATGCTCCAACAGGTCGGAAGCGGCAATATGAGGCTTTTTGTCCCCAAACTGAATATCATCAGTTAACACCCTATTACTCTGAGCTGAATATCACCGGTTTGTACTTATGAAATTTTTAAAACTTTATTTTCAGTATTCGAAAAATGAAAAAGACTTCTCAGAAAATAAACTTTGAAAAACCCTAATTAAACAATGAAATTTGCGAACCAAAAATTACGAGCAAAAATCGAGATAATAAAAAATCAAAAATTAAATTTTGAAGAAACTTAAAAAAATAAAAAAATGAAAAAAAAACTTAAAATAAAAATCAAAACTCAAACTTAAAAATCAAAAATCAAAGCTCAAAAAAGGATTTTTCAATGCATTATTTTCAAAACTACGGGGTGTGGAATGATTCTGCCCAGGGATGCTATCCCCTAACTTATACTTGTCTTCGCCAATCTAAATAAAAATCCTTTTTTGAGTTTTGATTTTTAAGTCCAACTTTTGATTTTTATTTTAAGTTTTTTTTTCATTTTTTTTTTAAATTTTTACAAACTTTAATTTTTAATTTTATAACCCTTGCGCTGTGGTCTCTCGTTCAAAAGCATTGTAAATTAATGCATTGATCCAGTACTGGTTCTGTTTTTAAATTTAATGCCTGCTACATGTTCTACTGATGAATAAATGCACGATATCGTTACTTAATTAATAAAAATTCGAGAATTTTTCAAGAAAAAAGAAACTCATACTTGTATTAGTTCCATTGGTTAGTCGTTTTGAACGAGCTAGTGCATACTGAACATCGTGCTGCACTCGTGACAGAAAATGCAGCTCCTCATCCAAACGTCCACCTTCTAAAATTCATTAAACGCTTCAATCACGCAATTAAATGAAGTTGATTTTTACAGAAAAAATTTGTGGTAACGGTAAGAAATGTATACGAATTAATGGACCGAAACACTTTTTACCATTATATAATAATTTCACAAATTTTCTAATTTTCATTACTTTTCCCTTTCCACTTTTTTTCCGATTTTTTTTTTCTCTTTTTTTAAAATCTTTTTTCCATTTCTTCCTATTATAACTTTCTATTGCCAATGATTTGACTTACACTTAAAACATAACTCAATAAATTTCAAAAAAAAGAGATGAGATCAGTTAATAATAACAATAAAAATATCT